TTGAAAGGAAACTTATTCGCAAAGCAATCAACATCATTTGATTCAAGAACAACATGATTCTTCAAATCATAAAACCTATATGCTTTGTTATTGTATGCATAACCAATGAACCACACACTCATATGTTCTACTAACCAATTTTGATATTTTAGGATCAAGTATACGTACATAAGCCAAATGATCCCAAGTTCTTAAATAAGACACATTTGGTTTCTTATTTTTTTCAAATTTCATAAGGTGAAGTTTTGGTTTTTGCAGCAGGAACTCGATTAAGCACATAACAAATAGTCAACAGATCTCACCCCACCAAAATGATGCACCGCCTGAGTTAAGTAGAACATCCACAGTTAATTCACATAGTGTCATATTTTTTCTTCAACTTTACCGTTCATTTCTTCAGAGGATGGTGTAGCTACAATATTCATCAAAAGCTCCAAATTCATACTCTTGACTTAACACAGCGTAGCTTTTTATTTCGATGAATTGGTTTTCTACTTCAGTTATGAAGAGTTTAAACATGTCAAGAGCTTCACTTTTATATTACATGAGATAGACATAACAATAATTTTAACTATCTATAAAATTGATGAAATACTGTTTCTCATTTCTAGTCACCACGCCATCATATTCACAAATATCAGAGTGAACTAGATCAAGTGGTTATGATTCTCTTAAAACTGATTTATGTGGTGATTTTGTTATCTTTGCTTGACTGCAAAATTCACACTTCTCAAAGTCAATTTAGTAAAAGTTCTGGAATTTGCCGTATGTTACTCATTTGTTTAACCAGTCTTTTGTTTACATGACAAAGTCTTGCATGCGAAACATCAAATGAACACAACATGTAAGCAAAAGAAGCAATTTTATTCATAGCATCAACATTCAATATAAAGTTTCTCCGTAGCATACCTCTTTCCCACGAAAACACCATTCTTTGTGAGAGTACATATGTCAGCCCCAATTATTTGAGTGAATCCAATCTTGTTGATTAGATAGCCAGAGACAAGGTTCTATCTTATTTTTGGAACATGCAGCACCTCTTTCAGAATGATATATAGTCTTACCTGAAGTGAATTTTAGCACAACTTCACAATTTCCAGTAGCATTAGTTGAGTGAGAATCACCCAACAAAACTTTTCTGTCTTCAGCCTCAGAATAGGACTGGAAAAGTCCACGGTCATAGCAAGCCATGGTGTGAGGCACCAGTGTCGACCCACCACCCCTTGGGTCCAGCAACTAAGTTGACCTTAGACATCATAGTAACAAGCTATTCCTCAATTAGGTTTGCCTGAGGAGCAACCAAACGCTTGTTGTGATAGTTTCGAGCTAAATGCCCAGGTTGTCACAATTGCAGCACAATAATGGTTCGGTTGTTGCATCTCATGAGGGGATTCTGTACTTTCAAGGAGTTTTTGTTGTTGTTGCTGTAAGTTATGGAGGAATTCTTCATGCTCTTACTAGTGGGTTTGAGCACCACAGCAGCATGACTCTTGTTATAAGCCTTCTTCAGGTTGCTGTTGTTCGAAACAACTAGCATTTCTTCCCTCATGTCTTGCTTACTGGCTTCTTCCTCAATTCGAAAGCGGGTGATCAGGCTTTGAAGTGAAAATTCATTAGTTTTGTGACGCATGTCCATCTTGAATTCCTTCCAACTAGGTGGGTACCTTATCAATGAGCACATCAACCTAAAATTGTTCATCCAGATTCATTCCTTTAGGGACGATCTCGTGGACAATCTTCTACAGCTTGTGAGATCAGGCTCTACAGTGAAAATTCCTTGGTCTTGTGATGCAAGTCCTTATTAAATTTATTCCAACTAGGTGGCAGCTTGTCAATGAGCACATTAACCTGAAATTGTTCATCCAGATTCATGCCTTCAGGGACCATCTCATGAGCAATCTTCTGCAGCTCATGTGATTGCACCTTTAGATAGCAGCTGATAAAAAACTTTTTTGCATCTGCTTCTTTAGTATCATATTTCTTCTAGAGAGCGTCCCTCAATTCCTTAGCAGTCTTATAGGAAGAATAATAGTCTTACAGATTTATCGCAAACCATTCAAGAGGTATTTCTTGCAAAGAAAATCATTGTCAGTCCATGTTTCATACAACTTGAATTGTTCAACAGCGGGTTGATTAGGGAGTGATGACATTTTAGGTGTGTTGTTAGTGGCAATTTTTTTGGTGGTTAAGAAAAACAACACATTTTGCCTCCAACGTTTGAAGTGAAATCCTTCAAACTTGGTGGGTTTATTGTGATCATTGACGACATAGTTGGTTTTAACATCCATGGCACTTGAAACGTCTTAAGATTGTTGAAGCACAATAAAAACAAGAAATGAAGTAACCAGTGAGCCAAGAACAGTCAAACAAAATTTTTTGGCTGAGTTGAGGACAATGTCGCTCTGTTTAAGACGTTTCGTGGCTCTGCTCAAGTTGTGCAAATAGTCTAAATGACACGCCGTCCCCAGGAAGAAACAGCCCAGAACCGCCTTTGTCTAGACCTCCTTTGCACTGAGGAAGATCCGAAAACTAACACCTTCTATGTTGCTCAAAAAACTCAATAAAAGTGATGTATACTAGTTAACCTTTATTTCCTTATTCCTGGAAGCTTTATCAAACTCTAATATTTACAGAGAAGGATTGAGTTTAAAGTTGGAGGAGTTGAGAAAAGATGGCCAAAGAATTAGCAACTTGTCACCATAGTTGAGAAAGACTAGGTCTTTTCCTTTATAATCAAAACAAATTCTACTTAGCGGAAAAGAAGTGGTCATCCATAAAAATAGGAGAAAACATTGTTTAATTTAAAAATATAAAAAAAATGAATTTTAAATAAACAAAATGTTTTAATAGTAACTAGTACAGTACTACAGTTTAATGGTATTCATCTTCATTTAGAAGTGGAGAGATCTTAGGTTCGAATCTTATGGATGACGAATTCGATACCAAATTTGGTTGCCCATTATGTAGCTTAGCCAAACTCTCCTTTCCCGTTTTGTAAAAATATCGATGTACTAAAAAAAATAGTAACTAGTACAATAATTTAGAGTACTAAAAAAAATAGTAACTAGTACAATAATTTAGAGAATGAGGAGTTTCGAACCCGAGGTGTATAAACGGAAACACTACACTCTATCTGGTAAAATATTAGACTTTATACATGTAATTTAACTTAATCTAATTACGGAAAAACGAATTCGAACTTGATTTATAGGAGATAGCCTATTAACTCTATTTATTATGATTATGCTCATATTTTTTGTTTGTGATTAAAAACGAGTGCAAGATGACTAACAATAATAACTCTTCATTTATTTGAACTATTAGAAAGTCTTCAATCAACATTACATCCATGTCATTTTTATAACTATTTTTTTTTCATCTTATGTTAATAATCTGTTAAATTCCTTATGATTTATTAGGTATTTGTTTGTTGGGATTTAACAGATTAGCATCAACACCATTTAGAAGTTGGTTATCTAATCTCGTTGACCTCTACCGTTTTTTAGGGTCGCAAAACACTATCAAGTTTTATTATGTTACAAGCTGTTGTGTGCACAAACTAAGCAAGCAGTTTGATTTTAATTAAAAAATCATAAACTAAAGAATAATATAATGAATAATAGTTAATCGTATATAATGTTAGGTCAATTACCTAACTTTGAGAGAAAGATCTATAATTTAAGAAATAGATTCTATGTATGTATGTAGAGATTTTATTTTATTATTATTATTTTTTATTTTTTGATTCTTTTGGTTGATGGGGTGGTTGTCTCCAAAAACGAACCCACTCAGTACTGTATATGGTTTTGGCTTTTTAGCCAAAATACTCATTGAGATTAGTATAATTTTTTGTTTCGTGTTTTTGAGATTTAAAATCGATGGAAGTGGAACTTGAATTGATCTATCATCAATCATTTTGATTATTTCGTGCAAAATCTTCATTAAATAAGAATAAAACGACAAAAACATGCTTAATTTTTGCCAAATTACTTTGGTCCATTGTTTATTAAATTAAGGGTATTTTTGTCATTTTAGTTCTTATTTAACAGAATTTTCATGAATGACCAAAATGATTGATTGTGAACCAATCAGGGACATCTTCAATCGATTTCAAATCTCAAGAACCAAAACGAGAAGTTACGTAACTTTTAGGGACCATTTCCGTCAAAAAGTTTGTTTTTTTGGGTTTTTTTGCTCACCACTATATTTATTATTATTTTAATGAGTTTTTTTTTTTTTTTAATTTGTGTCACTCTCACACATGTCTTAAAATTTAAATTTATCTACCAATTATAAATAGAATGGTAAGTATTATCACAACTAAATTGTGAGCAATTTTTATTTTATTTTTTTAGTTTTCAGTTGACGACCCGCTGTGGACCGTGGTCGGTCCGCCCAATATTGTACATCACTTTCTTATTTTCAATAGCAAAGGGCAAATATTAAAATTTGCTGCCCTTTTAAGTGTGTGGATGACCAAAGTGTGAGTGGGGGCCTTTGCCTTTTCATAAAAAAACAAATAAATACACAGAAAAAGGAGATGTGAACACGTGTGCAGATGAGGACCTGTCAGAACAACATGTCCTACGACCTCCTACCCCTACGCACTCACGAAAATGGGAATAGGGTTATGGGGAAGTGCCCCAACCGCCCTGTGGCGGTGCGGCATGGCTGTTCTCAGGTAGGACCCTTGACAAGGGGTAAAACTGAAAACTCAAATGGATGACGTAGCCGCTAGGTCTTTAATTTAAATACAAGATTGGGACTTGATTATAAATCCCCCATGATTCTCAACAAGGAACAATTATAAAACACCAGGACCAGGAGTGGGAGCCACTTTGGGACCCACCATATAATCTCAAAATGAAACTCTCTCAAATTGACGTATTTACATAAATTTCGAGGTCTAATTTATAATTAGGAAAAAATACATTGCGAGAGTTAAATTCAACAAGGCATACTTTTTATCACCAAACATTAAGAGCCACATAAAAAAGTCCTCAAAGCTAAAAGACAATGCATGCCTTGTCATCTTTGTATCTTCTGCTACCACCATTTTACATGCTAAGATAATCCTAATCCAACAAGGAATAAACCTAGTGATACAAATAAAAACACAATTTAAATTTAAAAAAAAAAATTACACCCTCTTTCCATTTCTTCTTCCCCAATATAATATAAAAAAATATAGAATGTCAAAAGTTTTACTAAAAAAGAAATCAACTGTTACATCCACCTTTGCAATTCTTCCCTCTTTCTGCCCCAACAAAAGATCCCTTCCCTACTTTTCCTTTTCCTGCATGCATTCCCCATCCTGTCCTCTCATCAAACCAATCAAATTTAATTAGACCTTCACCATCAACCCTGTCAGATTATACACACATAAGTGTACATATACTTTTCCCTATGACAATTTTACCCCCACTTGCTAAACTTTCTCTCCAAAATTGTGGGTTGAAATTCCATTCCTCCTACCTTTTTCCCGTTGTGCTTGCTTGATCACATCCTTGCATCTTCCATTTCTTCCCGGAGGGTGCCTGCAAATTCTCATTTCCTTGGGCAAGAATCAAGCTTTTCCTTCATTTGCTCACAATCCCCACCACCAGAAGTGCTTTCAGCTTCCTTTTCCAGTTTTCCGTCTGCCGGTTTTATGGGGGTTGCAATGTAGCACCAAGGGATAACTATTCTACTCACCGGCGGGTTGTTTCTTCTGTTCTGCCGGTTTTACCTGGGCCACGGTCGGAACGTAAGCGAATCCTGTAGGTACAACTGCTGGTACAAGTTGGTGTGGCCCAGATGATGGTGCAGCAGTAAACTGAGCATGCATAAGAGTCTGCGAGGATAAGTTACCGCCTCTCATGTTGTTAGCAGCTGCAGCAGCAGCAGCCGCCGCCTTTGCAGGATCGTTGGTGCTGGTATTTGAATGCGTAACAGGAGGGCAGAGTGACAACATCCCGCTCGAAGAAGTTCCTGATGAGCCTTGTGACTGCTGCTGTTGCTCAGGTCGGCGCTTAGAAGCATGATAATACCCGCTTGAAGGAGATTGAGTAGAGGTGTTACTATTGGAATGTGAAGCTTGAGGCTGCATGTAGGCATTAGAGATGAACTGCACTTGTTGAATCGATTGCTTATATAACTGTTGTTGCTGATGTTGCTGATGCTGTTGCTGCAATTGTGGCTTAGTACCAGCGCTCGAAGAGGTAATATGGGTGTTGCCTAGGATCGAAGGGACATTCCTCCCGCCAACAGGAGACGACTTCTGACTGGGCACTGATGGTGAGTTCTTGGCCTGCTGAGATGAAAAAGAAGATATTTGGCCAGCTTTATTTCCTGTGGAAGTCGAAGTAGTTGTCCTGGGGCTTCCACCAGCACTTCTAGACATTGATGACGTTGTGGTTGTGGGCGAACCAACCATTACAGGAGGAGATGGAGACTGATTGCTACTGGCAGGCTGCAACCCTTGAGATTGGATTGAAGCCTTGGTGTTTGCAGCAAAAGAAATCTGTGTGTGGCTTTGCTGTGTCCGCCCATGCTTTTGAGGGAGGTTTTTGAGGGACGAAGAGGTTGACGACGCAAGAGAAGATGAAGGAACTTGGGAAGTGGTTATCCTTGCAGAATTCTTCCACTGAGGAGATTGAGCTGGACTGGTGCTGCTTTGGACAAGGTTTTGGGGGAATGATGATAGAGCATTAGGAAACTTTGCAGCCATAGAAGAGGTTGAAGGGAGGTGATCAGAGTACACACTGCCATTACTCGTTGTTGGTGTTTTGTTACGAGCTGGAGCCACAGAAGAAAACTGCTGCTTCTGAAGCTGATACATCTGCTGCGGCTGCTGTTGCTGGTGATTCCGCATCTGTTGCTGCATTTGTTGCTGCATTTGTTGCTGGGGTGTGGGTGCATTTGCAGGGCTGACAGCAGCTGGCATAGCAGAACTGGATGATCGGACAGGAGTGGAGCTGAGGTTAACTGCTCTTGCTGAACTATCAATCACATTGTTGCCCGGTATTGTAGAACCAGATGTGTCGGTCAAATCTGCCCTGGAGAAAGCAATAGAGTGCCCAACATTTGATGAAGCTTTCCCAGCCATGGCCTTTCTTTCCTCTTCCACATTAGAGGAATCCCCTCCTCCGGTTTTCCCTTCTTCCAGACCTCGATAATTCCTTTTCTGTTGTGCAGCTTGGGCAGCCGCAGCAACAGCCATATACTGATGATAGCTGTGCCTAGTAACATCTGGTAAGCTCTGGAGAATTGTATGATTCATCGATGTTATGTCAATTCCAGGAGAAACGGTGGCACCATTTAAGGAAGCAAAAGACATGGCGAAAGCTTGGGATGCTTCAACCCCAGCCTTTGAGCCCTGTTGCTGTTGCTGCTGCTTCTTTTCACTACCACTAGCACCTGTTGCACCACTGGCACTTCCAACCGAAGGAGGTGTCATCAAAGCAAAGTTTGGCGGATGCATTGGCATTGCAAAATTCTGACCATAAATACTCATGTTTGCACGAGAGACACGACTATCGGCAGTTGACGGGCTGTCTTCGCCACCCATTTCAGGCTCAAGTTGGCGCGAAACATGCAGGTTCTGCTGCTGCTGCAGCTGTATTGCTTGCGAAGGATGGTTTTTTGAGGCAGGAAAGCCTTGCAAGCTTCCACTGCCACCATTGACAACACTTTGATGTGGCCTTTGCTGCTGATTTTGCAAATGCTTCTGGGACGACGAAGAACCACTTGAAATAGTAGTGTTTGGATGACCTTGTTGACTTTGCTGTGATTGAGAAGGCGGTGGGGGTTGCTGCTGCTGCTGTTGTAGTTGAGAAGGATGGAGCATTTGAGAAGGATAGAAAGACCCGTTAAAATAAGGCATCGCCTGAGCATGGGGTCCTCTGTATGCCGGCTGTGCACCTACATGAGGTGGCATTGGAAATGGATATGCATTGTTCTGCAAAATCGCCAAATACTGGGGTTCATTTCCAGCCATATTTGGGTAGTTGAAACTCAATGCTGGTGCTGCAGCAGCGGTTGCAGCTGACGCACTCAATGAAGCAGAGTTAGATGCACTGGATGAAGCTGCACCACCAGCATTAGAAGACTTCACAGAACCAGGTCGGACAGAAGAAGCGGGAGCGGCCTGTTGCTGGCTCAATGGGAAAATGAAAGCAGGACCATGCTGAAATTTTCAATAAAAAAAAACGCATCCATATTCAAACCCCAGTGACAATATCATTGAACAAATGTAACAGTATCAAAACGAGAAACGTACCAATATATTAGTAGGTGGCCCGGGAGGCAGAGCTTGCTGGAGCACGATTTGCTTTCTCTGCGCATCCACAAGGTTTGCTGCTTGTGAAGTTTTTTCCTTCGCAGATTGAGCAGGAAACATAGCAATCCCCTGCCCCTTGTCCTGTGCAGGATTCACCCCTCTCCCTGGAACATTGCCAAGCAATTCTGGAGGTAATACATTGGGATTGCTATGCTTGGCTCCTCCATACAGAGATCCCGAACCAGCTGCTACCGGCCAGAAAGGATTCATCCTCGAGATTTGCTGGTGACAGTATATATTCCTTGCAATGTAGCAATGGGTTGTGCACCTCTTTGGCCGAGGTTGACTAAAAAGCAAATGCGGCGGCTGCACCAGTTGAAAATTCCATTGGAAAACAAAAAAGCAACAGAGCTCCACTTAGTTTCACGAGGAGGGAAAGAAAAAAAAAAAGGTTCATAAAATAACATTACATACTTGTATCGGAGCTGAAGAAACGGTGCTCCCGTCCATGGATACAACTCCTGGTAAGGGCGCCATATATCTGCTGATGAGAACACATCCATTCCCCCAAAATAAGTACATCACAAAACCAAAGATGAAGGCTAATAACCAAGAAAATGGCAAAAGAACAGATAACATAACAACCGAAGAGCGTACCCCATCGGAGGGAGCCCGCTCGGCCAGCCCGCCACGGACATCGGCAAAGGTACAGAACCCGATTGCACTGAAGAATCAGAAGACCAAATCACTAACTGAGCAACCCAAATTAAGGGGGAAGAGAGAGAGAGAGAGAGACTAAATTACCAGTTTTCTCAGTGTTTTGCTTTGCAACATTATAGGGCAGCTTGTTTCCACTAAAACTCTCAGTCTTCTCCAAATCAAGCTGCAGATCAAAATTCCTTTCTTTCCCACCAACAAAGGAAGAAGTCTGCTTTTTCAAATCACCTGCTTCTGCTTCTTCCAAAACTGCTTTTGACTTCTCAGTTTCCAAATTTAAAGGCTGTACTTCTTCCTTGTTGCCAATTTTCAGAGCTTTGCTGTCATCCTCTCTGCTCACAGCTTTTAAGTCCTGCAAACCAAACAGTAATACACACCTTAAACCAAAAATCTTCAAAAACCAAAAATTATAACACCAAAATATGCATATGGCAGAGGTGGTCCCCACTCACCGTTTCTGCATCTACGACCGCAGGCTTAGGATCTACGGAGATAAAATCAACTTCACCATCCCTTTCTGGAGGAGCCTATAATTATATACACATCAACAACCAAAAAATTTCAATATTAATAATTTATCCTTTAAAAAATAGGAAAAAATAAAAAGAAATAAAAAGACGAATAATTTATCCTTAAAAAAAATATAAAGAAATAAAAAGATGAATAATTTATCCTTATAAAAATAGAAAGAAATAAAAAGATGAATAATTTATCCTTTAAAAAAATAAAAAGAAAGAAAAATTGATGATCCTCACCATCAGGTCTATCTGGAACTTTTCTTCCCGGTGGTTTTCAACTTCTGGGATTGTTGAACTCCTAGATAAAAACCCACGAAGAGAAAATTAGAAAATTCAAAGCATTTTGCATCCGAAAAAAAAAATTCAATCTCCGATGCTCACGGTTTGGTCAGGGTGATTTCTTCACGTTTATCATCCAATCTGAGGCCAGTGGATTCCTTCTTGGGAGATTGAAGTTCCACTTTGCTCGTTCTAACATTTCTACTCTCCGATTCGTCGTTCGCTGGCCTTGAATTTGACACGACGTTGCTCTCCGGCTTAATTGCCTCCGGCTGAGCCTCCATTGATGCCGGAGCAGCTGGAACAACTTGCGAGTTGGGCAAATCGTACGCAAAGCCACCGTTTTCAGCTGCAGATCCTGGGTTTTTCTCCAACTTTGGAGAGGAAGTCTCAACCTTTGAAGGCTGATCGGCCACCATTTTGGCCGTAGACGAAATGGGACTGTTTTGAACTGCAAAAATTGCTGGGTTCTCGTCTTCATACTTCACGGGTCGTGGTCTTTTCCTCTTGGGTGCTGCGGATTCAAACAGACCAAATTTTCATCAGTCACCATAAAAACACAAGAACCCAGTTCTGTTTGCTCACCGAAAAACTGATTCAATCCCTTTTTCTCAGTCTCTCAGCAACCAAACTGAGCATTTGGGTACCCAGAAAGAAATGAATAAAACCGAGAGCTCAGTGAGCTTATAGTACCCACCGGCGGCGGACATGGAAGTGACGGAGGAGCAAGAATTCTGAGGGAAAGGCGACGTCAGCTGAGGTACCACACAAGGCGAGTTCGAGATCGGCGACGAAACTCTGGATTTCGCGTCGCTGGTAAATTTGTTGTTGGTTTCTCTGGATTCGAATTTAATCGAATCGGTGGCTGTAATTTCTTGCTTCGTCGGCCCTTGCGGCTGCCTTTTCATCCCGTACAACACCTCCGCGACCTCTATTTCTATCTCGTCCTGATTAGACGACGCCGTCTTGGTCGACAAGGACTTCGGCGGCCGAAGTTTGGGTCCGTTTGGCTTCTGCAACAAAAAAAAATGTCACTAAATGTAAGAAATAAAAATAAGCAAAAAAAACCCAAAACAGAGAAATGAATTGAATTTGATGGAATTGAAGACCCACCAGCCTCTTCCGGACCGCCGAGGCGTGGGAAGAAGAAGGTGAAGTCGGAGCCGGCGTCGACGATGACACGCTCGGCCGAACAGGGGACGTCGAAGCCTGGCGGTGAATTTGGTCTCCGACAACACCGCAACTGGAAGGCCATTCGTTGGACCTCTTCGTCGACGCTGAAAAACGACAGGAAGAAAAACATCAGTATCCCGGAATCCATTAAAATCAAACGTCTGGCAGCTTTTTCTCCCTTAAATCACTTCATTTCTGCTCTACCTGACCGTGCTTTTCGGGGCACCGAAACGCCAATCATCTCGTCGGTGACCTTCAACGCAGTGAGCGGTCTGAAATGCTTGTTGCTATTAAGATTATGAACCGGCGAGAAACTCTTCCGGTGATTTATCATAGACGATGACAGAGATGCCGTTGTCGACGGGTGGTTCGGCGGAAGCATCCGAATCGACGACCCACCGCCGCCGACTCCACTTCCACCTCCGTCTTCGTCTTCGTCCTCATCTTCGTCGTTCACACTCTCCTCCGAACTATCATCGCGGCTATCTTCTCTATTGCTTCCGTGCATTAACCTCTCGCCTCTCCGCCTCTTGCTCCGGCTCAACCGATCCCTATCGCGATCTCGGTCCTTCTCTCGATCCCGATCTCGATCTCGGTCCTTCTTCCGATCTCTGAGCCTCGATGTCTCCACCGGACCATCGTCCTCTGCAAAAACAAAAAAAACGAAAAAAAAAAAACCATTAAAACGAATCGAAAACCAGCAGCTGGGTATTGCTAAAAGGAGTTAGATCTGGTAGAAGCCACACCTGGGGAGTCTCTGAGGCTGCTACTTCGGTGTCTCCGCCGTGACAGGCCATTAGGGGCCGCCATAGCTGATCTTCTCGCATCCCTATTCCTATCCATATCTAATAATATTAACTACAGACAAATCAGCTACACACACGACTCTAATCCCATCTCTCATCACCGGAAACCCAACATAATTCACCGGATAATTTAGTCAAGCCCGCCGGGCCTGATTTGTAAGCTCCGACTCCCAACCCCGTCAACGACGATCTCTCTCACAAGGCTATTCCCACGCCCAAAGATCTCAGCCTTCGCTTATCATCTTCCACCTCTCACTGCCTCTCTCTCTCTCTCTCTCTCTCTCCGTTTCTCTCTATCTCCAACTCTGTCTCCTTTTTGTGCTGTCTATCAGTCTATCTCATCCTCTTCTCCCTATTTCACTTCGAGCGAAACCCACTCCCAAGCCTCATCGACGGCCACGATTCACCTGCGGCATCACATCCTTCAATCTTCACCCTACATTCCGCGATACATCCTGCGGTTCATTTCCACCGAAGCTGACATGGCAAAATCCTTGCCGTCCACACGCCTGCCCCAACCTTTTCTGTCTGGTGCCGCCACGTGTCAGATTTTTTAATTTTTTCTTCCTGCTCAAGCTTCCATGTTTACTCAATCACTACGATTCGGTACTTTTATACTATAAAAATCGTTAAACAAATCAATAAAATACCACCAATTCATGTATCAATAGAAGATTATATTATTTTAATATTTTTAATTATTTTATTCTACTCAAAAGAAGAACACTGTAGCCCACCAATCCAATCAGGTTGTTTACTTAAATTAATAAAAATAGCAACCCCAGAAATTAGCCTAATCAACGTCATTAACCGGCTATTCCCGGTCTTAGAGCCCTCGGCAAAAGCAACGTGCCGATAACAACGGATTTGCATGACTGCAAATAATGAAGTGCATTTTTACTCATCAACCACAAGGAGTAGTAATGTTGACAACTTACTTCTTATTATTATATGTTTTTGAATTTTAAAATTTGTGCGTATTCATTACAAGAATTTTGAAATTTAAACTTAACAATGGTTAACATACGCCACAATTTAGAATGGTGAGCAAAGATACTCTCAGATAATATTGATCAAACCGGTCAAATTCATTGTTTCCGGTCCCACATTTTTTTTTTTTTGTTTTCCATTTTTCCTCCCTTTCTTTATATGTTTTGTTCAATTAATTACGGATGATGGCAAAATTCTAAAACAATTTCCCTAAATTGACAACGTAAGCCCCACATGAATGGGAACCAGTCGCGCATTCCACGGTCCAGATCTTCCCGTAACCAGTAACGCGAAGTTTACTAGCCGTCGGATGCTTGTCTGACGTGGCGATAAGTCCATTAACAAAGACATCCCAAAACCCAGATTCGTCCTAGCTGGCACCAAACTAAAAGAGCTCGTGCGCGTCGATCAGTGCGCCTCATCTGGACCGTAGGATCCAGCCCAACCAACGGCAGATATAGGAGCATGAGCGAGGGAAGGTCTCACGGTCACGGAACTTCTGAGAAGTGTGGGTCCCGCTTTAGCTGCCGATCTAGAAATTATTTCCTCGCGTTGGCCTATTGTCACGCTCATGGGATATGGCAGCCTAGTCTGACGTGTACTGGGGCCCAGAGATTAAAAAATAAAATAATATTAAAATACTTTTTCTCTTTTATTTTTTCGCGAGGTCAAATTTTACAGCGCAGTTAAAAAAATGTAAAACTCATATATATAAATAAATAAATTCGTTTTTTCCGGCTCTAACTCCACGCGCTTATGGCGGAGTTCACATTCTACGTGTCCCCCCATTATTTCGCCTCGATTGGCTACTTTTCTACGCTCACAAGATGGTAAATATCTTTTTGCTCGGATCCTTTCGATATTCTCACCCGCCTGTCACATTCATGTTTTAGTCGTAGGGCACAGCTGGGTAGGTTAATTCATGCTCCACAGAAAAAATATAAAAAAAGTATAATACGGGGGACAAGCGTGCCACGTCAAACTGGGCCCCGCCCGGAAATGGTTGACCCACCACAGTGGATCCCCTTTCTCCAGCTTTTGTCGCTTTGCGGGGTCTTTAGGTTTTCGTCCCCTCGCTATCGTCAAGGTCCAGAAGGTGTGCCACGTGTCCGGGAAACGTGCTATTGTCCTACGTGGCATTGTTTATGGCCGCTTACGTAAAACCCTAGCCGTCAACAGCACCAAAACACACATAAATAGCACAAACATAAGTTGCGTTTAGACTAAACTCACCGCCACTCAGTAGTCACCCCCATTAATTGATAAATAATTAATTAATCCAAATGGATTTGATTGACATAATTATTAATTCTATAATATTATAGAATCTCATTTGGTAACATAATAGAGTATAATAATGTGACAACCAAAATAAGAATAAACAATTAAATGCATAATTGCATGTAAGCATTTGCGATCTATGGCCTTTTTCCGACTCGGGTGCATATATAAAAGGCCAATTTGTTAATCGGGCAAAGTTGTGAGAAAAATAAAATTTTGGAGTTAGAATTAGATCTGGCAAATAAGTTGTGTTTGTTTTAATTGTGTCATTTTCGTGTCATATATGTTATAATAACGAGTTGTGTCGTGTCAAACTCCATTATCTCAAATTCTCAACGAATTTTAACAAGTGACCTAATAACAACCTAATTTCTTAACGTGTCACGTCATTTCATTCCAAGCTAATGAGTCGTGCAAAAAATTATCATATCTAATATTCAGATGTGGCAAATAATATCTTATTAAGTTTTTAACAAGCGATCCGATAACAACCCGACTCCTTAATAAGTAACTCAAAATCTGTTATTTTTATATCATTTTGTATCAAGTTAACTGGTTATACAAAAAATTATCAGACTTCATTAGAATGTATCCAAAAAATGGTTATGTTTCGTAATAATTTTGAAGTTGTAAAATCAAAATTTTCCTGTTATACGGGGAAAATGACAAGGGATCTACTTTGACCAATGTACAATTAAGCATGAATTATGGATGTCTCATTCGTGAAAGTAAAATGTAAAACATAATTTAAAGTGGGTCAAATGCCATTACGTGGGGTGATCCATCCCTTCCCCAATCTATATCCAATTGATTGGCATTTTCTGACTTGATTGTGCTAGTTAGGCTTGGTGGTCGCCGGAAAGGGATCTTTTTCGGATCCCTTTTACCTAATCCTCTTTATCAAACAATTTAAATTCTTGAAATTTGATCTAACGGCTACTAACACGAGCCCACTTTAAAGTTATAATAACTTTAGCCGTTTGATCAAATTTCAAGAGTCCGAATTATTTGCTGATGAGGATTAGGTGAAAGAAATCCGGAGATGATCCATTTCTGTGGTTGCCTATTTGCAATGAAGGTGATATCAAGTTTGAGAGTTAAGTTGCTCGAAATGTTACACCAAGTTAGGGAGTTTGGATGGTTAGACTGATTACTGTTTACTTTTTAAAATGGCGTGGTTTGATAGAATAAGCGTTTCTCTTAATATCTATTTTTTCATTTTCGTTTCATAATATGTGTTGAATGAATTGAGTAAATGAACACACGTCAAAAACGCTGATGGAAAGTCATGTTTTCTATTTATTATTTTAACAATGCGTGTACCGAAACACAACATGATTAATGAACAAATCAAATTAATGTCAAGTCATTTAACATGATTAGCTAAATAAACGAAGTTTGAGCTTACTTGTATTTTGCATGAATTCGAAATGGAATAACACAATGTGACACAAGATGTCACTACTTGTCAATTACCACCTCTACATAGTGCATGTGAAAGTATAAGTCTGCACAATCATGGGCATTAACACATAATTGAGTGATCTAAGTGCTAAAAGATGAGTTCATCACAATGTAAGATCTAGTTTATCACAATGGTAACATGGCGTCCTTTGGTTAATTTGTGTCATCACTTCAACACAAGTGTTTTTTTGGAGATAAGAATCGAGCGAAATTACAAATATACCGTTTTTGGTACACATCTTTAAAATGTAGTTTTTTTTTTTTTTTTTTTTTTGGCGGTTGAAATTGAGAGATCGGACCCCTAACCTATCATAAAACTATTTCATTATTTCACTTCCTTCGTCGCTTGAGTTAACCCAATAAATTTATTGAAAATATAGTTTGTTTACTTGCTTAGAGTGAGATGAATCTAAAGTAAAAAACTAAAATGATTTGAAGAGAATCGTGTGCAAATTAGCATATAGAGAAAACCTAATTTACCAACCGAAATCACACGTTTTCTTGTCACCAATACAGTCTATCGCATAATGGCATATGCATGTTGAAAGCAAAACAAAACTCCTGGAAAGAGACTATAAACCACACACAAAACTCAAAACTAATAATTTTTTTTCCATTTATTAACAACAACAACCAAGCTTTATTTCACTAAGTGGGGTTGATTGAATGAATCCTAAAACGCCACTGCACTTGATTTTGCGCTATGCCTTTCATTAGCTCCAAATACTCTATATCTTTTTTAAAGTCTCTTTCCAAGTCTTCTTAGGTCTTTCTCTATTCCTTTTGCTCTGAACTTCCGTCTTATAGTCGCATCTTCTAATCGAAACATCGGTAGGTCTTCAGTTCATGTGTTTAAACCATCTTAACCGATTTTCTCTCGTCTTATCTTCAATTGTAGTCACCCCTGCTTTACCTCGAATATCTTCGTTTGTAATCTTATACTTTCTCGTGTGCCCACATCTTCAACAAAGCATTCTCATCTCCGTTATACTCATTTTGTCTATGTGTTAATTTTTGACCGACCAACATTATGTGAAATAAAGCATTGCTAGCCTTATTGTCATCCTATAAAAATTCCCTTGAACTTTAGTGGTATATGACGATCGCACAACTTATCCAATGCACTCTTCCACTTCATCCATCCAACTTGTATTCTATGGTTGAGATCTCCATCTAATTCTCCGTTCTTTCGCAAGATACATCCAAGATAGTGAAAAGGTTCACTCTTTGGTACTTCGTGATCTTCAATCCTCACTCCTATCTCATTTAGACCCCCTTCTACTGAACTTGCACTCTATATATTATGTCTTTGACCTACTTAGGCAAAGACCTTTTTAGATTCCAACTTTGCCCATCAAAGATTAAGCTTCACATTTACTTCCTCTTACATTTCATCTATCAACACTATATCATATGCGAAAAGTATACACTAGGGGATACCATCTTGAGTATGTCCCATTAACTCGTCCATTACCAATACAAGAT